CTATCTATCTATCTATCTATCTATCTATCTATCTATCTATCTATCTATCTATCTATCTATCTATCTATCTATCTATCTAATGGTGGCCACAGTTCCCCTAAAGCACCAATACAGGAACTAATTTCCTGATTAGTGCTTTAGGGCTTTTGCTAATTTTAAAATTTATTAGTGGATTAGCACTTGCTAAATTTATAGGCTACATTTAGAAGCACTAACTGAGGTCTATAAATGTTATTGATCAACATTAAAGTTAACAGCTGAGGGTGAAAGCTGTCACATTTTGTTCATACCTGCGTCACTTATCCACTAGGTGACAATATATTGACAATATATGAACCCAAATAAGGCTGTGGAATGTCAATGATAAGTCTTAAGAGAACAACATGGCAACATGTGACTTATGTTGTCTGTTGAAGAATGTTCATGAATTGATTGGGTTATTTTAGTGCTTTAGAGTTAGCTTTTGCAAAACTTTCAGTGCGTTAGTGCTTTRGAATTAGGGGAYCTAAATATMTGAGTTAGTGTTTTAGGGCTAGCGGAACTAATTTTGAGATTAGAGCTGCCCACCACTCTATCTATCTAGCTAGCATCTGTCTGTTTTAAATTCCATGTCGTGACTTACCTCCTTTACGTCACACTGACGTAAAGACGTCGTGTAGTAAATGAATGCGCTGTGCGGCGCGAGCCTCGACTCATTCAAAGACACGTACACCGAGAAGAGGAAAATACACACAGTTGTGAATCGCGTTTTCTCTTTTACTCCCRGTGCTACACTTCGTTTCAGTTTCGGACAAAAATCAGTCGTTTTTTATTTTATCGGAGCTCGATGGCACGAGGAGAAGGCGCGGAGCCGTACGCTGCAACTTTACTGACTGTTAAACCTAACACGGATATAAAGCCTGTAAAGAAGGTAAGGTCGTTTGACAGAGTATTCTGGGATTTATTTATTTTTTATAGCTAGTTCGGTCGTCACACTTAGCTAGGAGCGTAAGGGGCGCTTAAATTCAACGTTAGATTAGAAATTGTAGCCTACTTCCTTTCTCGGTGTGCGGCGTCCCTGCCCAAGGGTTTGAATTTCTCCCCTCTTCTCCAGCTGGCCCTATTTGTAAAGTTTACATACCACTTTTAAAGGGCCCATGTAGAAAAATGTTTTAAAACCGTCATATTTGTGAAGTCGGAGCTGAGACAGATGCAGAAGCACGGTGCTTGTGTCAGGGCTACTTCACGGACACTCATTTTAAATAGTTGAAACTGTGGGAATTTTTAGCCTCATAAACCCTTTAAAATCATATGTGTAATTATAATTAAAAAATGTTGCTGTTATAAATTTTACACGACCAGAGTTTTTATTTTACCACACACAGCCTTTTTTTTATTGTAATCATTCATATAATTTAATAAATAATATAAAAAGCCATTTCCAAAACTAGTTTTAAGTACCTTAAATGCAACCCCAGAGCACCGGAATGCTCTGGTAACAAACATATCCAAATATATAATTACTTTTTAATGTCACTTTTTCCTCAACAGTATCTGCAACAAAATGTTAAAACATTCAGGTTGTTTAATGTGAGGTTTTTCTTTGTTTTGCACGCAAAGAAAGCTGTAGTTTTGTTTTGRCCAGCTGCAACTTAAACAACAAACTTATCATAATGTGAAACACTGAGGATTGCTTAATAGTAAAGTGCTTTCCCCCCATCAGTCTTTTGTGATAAAAGCTGTTCAATGATCCAGACTTAAGTCCTTAAAGGATCTTTATTTAGCTGAAGTTTTATTCTTAGTTTGGCATGATTACTGTTCCAGATTGCTAATACTGTAAAAACAGACCTGGAGGGAAATATTGCTAACACTTGATATTACGGGACGTTTARGTTTAGGAAGAGGTGATTCACTGTTATCTGACAGCCTGTAATAGATATGCAGGTTGGTCTCCTAAAAAAAAAACCTTCCCAAAACATCCTATGTGAGGAGCCAATGGCTGCGCTGGACTGATGTAGTGATGCGTCAGTCTGTGTGAACTACAGTAACCTCAGTGCTGCTCCGTTAAACAGCAGGATGACTGAGGCAGAACATGTGCAGATTAATAAACTCTTACATTTACAGTCAGCAGCACAAACTGTTTCTCTATCAGCTCTGTTATGCCTCTCCTTTTATTTCGTTTTGTTTTCTCTCTTTCAGCCCAAAGCMCGCAGGAAAGGCCTGTCTGTGTGGAATAAACTCTGCTATGCCTTCGGAGGAGCTCCTTATCAAATTACGGGCAGCGCTCTGGGCTTCTTCCTCCAGATTTACCTGCTCGATGTCGCACAGGTGAATCACAAGATGTGCACTGAAACGAGGAGTGTGATCATGGGATTGTGTGTTAGCAGACTGCTATGAGTCCATTATCTTAGTTTCTTTTTAGTAGCAACACTGATTAGCTTCAAGGCCGAAGCCCGTTTTCATTCGTCTTGTATCGTTTTAATCGTCTTCATCCTGAATTATTCAGCCAAGCGTGTGAAGCTGGACTCCTGGTGTTTGCTTTGTTGCTGAATTAGTCTTTCCCCCACTTGTCCTCAGCAGGGACTTAAATAAAAGCTACTCACCATCCACTCCCTCCTCTGTAGAACCTGCTCAGAAAGTTGTAAAAATCTTTTTATTTTAAGCTCATGTCTGCTTGTCTGTTTCACTTCCTGTCCTCGTAGCTGGACCCCTTCTACGCCTCCATCATCCTGTTCACGGGCAGGGCGTGGGACGCCGTCACGGACCCAACTGTGGGGTTCCTGGTGAGCCGGAGCAGATGGACCCGCTTCGGCCGCATGATGCCCTGGTAAGGCGCCMTGGGTGTTCGGGGTGGCGATTGAGCAACGGTGAGGTGACCGTGTTCAGTTACAACAATCACAAAACCTGCGTAGATTATTGTGAGCGTCTTGTGACTCCTCAAGGGTATCTGGTCCCGCCTCCTGCCTCAGGTATGCAGGACCTTGCTCTAGTGGGAYTCGTGCACACTTGAAAGGTTAAAACCATTGCAGGACTCGGTACAAGGGGCAGACTATAATATAATAAAATAATTTACATGCTCTTTGTTTTTTTTATAGCATCTGCAGTCAAATTTATGTTTGAGCTCAGTAAGGAAGTCGGTTGAGAAAAAACACACAACCTTGAGGTTCTAGTGTGAAAGGGTGAAGCTTTCTTAACTGCTGCGAGAAGATTTGGTTCAGAAAAACCAAGACGGTGTGAAGAACTGATGCCATTGCCCAAACGTGACAGCTGACATACACAGTATATAAATAAATTAAATAAATAAATAAATATTCAGCTGTGCATGATTCATGGTGTAGGCTGAGGCGGGGGAGGGGGGAGAGGAAGTTGCCGGCTTCTGCTGCGATTGGTCCCACCCACAACACACCATCAGTCTGAGCCAATCAGGAGGGAGCAGCCGAGTGCCACTGTGCATTTGATTCCTGACACAGTGGGTGGAGGGTTCGGAGAAACGGATCTCGTGTTTATAGCCATGCTCGGCTGACATAAAAGTGACTTTGTAAAAAAAAAAAAGTGGTGGTGGTACATGAAAGAAATGGCTGCTAAGCAGCAACATTTCCTTATTTTTGAGCTGTTTTTTTAGGATTATATAAAGAAATTATGTGATTTCCTGTGTATAATGTGCTTTTAGTCARAGCAAATTTGAAACCAAAAGGAGAAACCAAGAGCCACTTGACTTTTAGTGACACAAAAGAGCGCGAAATCATGGTGGGGTCATATGACAGCATGTGAAAGCCCCTGAGGGTGAAAGGATTTTATTTCCTTGTGAGAAAGCTGACCACTGATGGTCATGATCATAAAGTTTTATCATGCTGTTTGACTAATAAACAGATATTTTTAAATATTTACAGCAGCTCTGCCAACAAAAGGAGTGTTTTTTCTCATCCGTGTCTGTAGTGTTAGCAAAATATCTCAAAAAGTAGCAGATKGATTTTAAYGAAACTCTCAGAAATGTATCAYTGGACATACGGCTACAACTAWTTAATTTTTGGAGTTAAYTCAGTCCSTTTTACAGATTTTTACTTAAAACCTTGGGATTTGGACTTTAATTTGCAAATTTTGGTCTTTTCCAATGAGTTTCTGTAAAGATATTTAAAAAACCAGTTTGATCTGAGCTCAGCTGAGCGAGTGTTTCAATAACAAGCTGCTGAAGTGGCACAAGCTGACCGATTTAAGTCGGGACACTGAGGTCATCTGGAGGGCTCGCAGAGCTAAATAGAAAACTTTCGGTGGACCAAACATGGCCCTGCTTTTCGGGCCAACTCACACGAGCCCTAAAGGGATCGTTCTTTTTTTTTTTCCCTCCGCTCACAAGCTCTAACCAGGCAGGATTAACAGGATTACACACAAAGCGACAGTGAAAGAGCGCCTGTCTGCAGGGGATAACTGGATGAAAAACAAAAATGTGTTATAGTTACAGTGGGCAGAAATCTTTAGTTGCAGTGTTTCTATATTATGAATGCATTTAAACACGCAGCTTCTTTAAAAACTTGTTTCCTGCTCCTCTTGTAGGATCCTTGGCTCCACTCCGTTCGCAGTTCTAACGTACTTCCTGATCTGGTACGTTCCTTCGTTYGAGGAAGGGAAGGTCATCTGGTACCTGGTTTTTTACTGCCTCTTCCAGTCAATGCAGACGGTTAGTTAGATGCTCATTGGGGATATGTTCCTCTTTATTTGCACACTTCTCTAACTCTGTTTTTTTTTTAATTGCAGTGTTTTCATGTGCCATATTCAGCCCTCACCATGTTTATCAGCAACAACCAGAAAGAGCGCGACTCCGCCACCGCCTACCGTACGTCACGCTTCCCGTGAGGTCAAATTTTACGGAGGTTTTGATTTCTTTGCCGACCCCCCGCGCACCTGTGTTTCTCTCAGGTATGATGGTGGAGGTGCTGGGGATGGTTCTGGGCACCGCAATCCAGGGTCAGATAGTCGGCGGCGCCTCCAGTTGTCCCGCTGAGCTCAACAACACGAACAGCTCCGACTCCACRACAGACCCAGCGACAGTTTCGCTGGACGAGACGGTAAAGGCCTCTCCCTTTCCAGATACTAAAGAAGGCTCAGGATTTCCTGCTTCAGGAAAAAAACTAACCAATTAAAAATAAACTGTTTATCCTAAGATGTGCGTCAKCGTTGGTAAATTTTTCCACTTCCTGCCTGCAGAAACGAGCGTACATGGTCGCCTCGGGGGTCATCTGCTTCATCTACGTCTTGTGTGCTTTAGTTGTGTTTTTTGGTGTGAAGGAGCAAAAAGGTACGAAACCAAAAGTTTTTTTATTTTAATGCATTTTGGTCAACTTCTTTCTCTAATGTGTGCTTTTTTTAATATTTGCTTATATCAAATTTTTGGAGTTATGGTTTGTGAATTTGAGCTAATCTAGTTTCACACCTGATTTAACAAAACCTGTTTAAATATTTGTATTTTCCTGACACCTGATAAACAGTCATGTTGCAAGTAATAAGAGAA